GCGCGAGGTGGCCTTCGAGGCCGTCAAGCGCGCCGCTGATGACGTTATCAGCAAGGCTGGCGACGGCGATCCGGCCGTGAAGGGTACGTGGGCCTCCTGAGAAGGTGGCACTGGGCGGCTGAGCAGGCTGAGCACGCTTGTGTGCGGTACAGCACTGCTCTCGTAATCGGCGTATGGCTATGTGAAATGCTGCGTTGGATAGGTTTGGTTCCTTTGTTAAAGAATGCATACTTTGCGGCTAGTGGGCGGGTAGTACGCGAAACACTGCATGCGGGGTGACAATGCGCAGAACCGCGCCCTGGCACTGTGCTCGCCATGGTCTACCACTGGGCCACTTTGCGTGTCGCGGGGGCGTTGTTGCGTGATGGCCGTTCTCTGTGATGCGTCTTGGCCGAGACGCCGCAGCGGATCAGCCCTGAGACGCTGGGGAGTCCAGACCACCACCAACATGTACCTCCGTTTCAGACATCAAGAAGAAGCTGGACAACCTCACGAAGCTGTGGGACCACCTGCAGAAGGCGACGGACGACCGCGGCCGCTCGCTGGAGGACGCGCTCGCCATTTCGGAGCGTTTCTGGTCGGAGTTGCAGGGCGTCATGAAGGCGCTGAAGGAGCTGCAGGAGGCACTCGGCAACCAGGAGCCGCCGGCCATCGAGCCCAGCGCCATCAAGGAGCAGCAGAAGGTGCGGCAGAGGCCCTCGCCAGTCGGACTGTCGTAGGCCTGTGCGACAAACATCCATGATCTGGTTCTGTTTGTAGCAGCAGTAAAATGTGTGATTTGACGCGCGGCGCTTGATTACACACGCGGTAATTTTACTATGGGCACTGCATGACCTACAGCATTCGATGGGCCCCAAAACCTCAAATCATCACCAACATCATACGGCTGCCTACCGTCAGCTGTATGAGATAGTGCAGGCTGATTTGCGTGGATGACCGGGTACATCGTGCCCCAGGAGCTGCAGGAGATCCGCCAGGGCATCGAGCAGACCAAGCCCGAGGTGGACAAGGTGCGTCGCACCGGCCAGGACCTGATGAAGGTCTGCGGCCACCCGGAGAAGCCCGAGGTCAAGAAGAACCTGGCCGACCTCGACTCGGCCTGGGACAACATCACGGCGCTGTACGCACGCCGCGAGGAGAACCTCATCGACGCCATGGAGAAGGCGATGGAGTTCCACGACACGCTGCAGGTAACGCCGACTGGGCCGCCCGAGAGGTGCGACGGCCAGGGATAGAGACCAGGGCAGAGCTGGATACGCTGCAGGTAACGCCGACTAGACCGCCCGAGAGGTGCGACCGCCAGGGATAGAGACCAGGGCAGAGCTGGATACGATGCGGGTAACACCGACTGGGCCGCCCGAGAGGTGCGACGGCCAGGGATAGAGACCAGGGCAGAGCTGGATACGCTGAGGGGACGCCGACTAGACCGCCCGAGAGGTGCGACCGCCAGGGACAGACCAGGGCAGAGCTGGACACGGTGCATGTAACGCCGACTAGACCGCCCCGAGAGGTACGACGGCCAGGGATAGAGACCAGGGCAGAGCTGGACACGGTGCATGTAACGCCGACTAGACCGCCCGAGAGGCACGACGGCCAGGGATAGAGACCAGGGCAGAGCTGGACACGGTGCAGATAACGCCGACTAGACCGCACGAGAGGTACGACGGCGGGGATAAAGACCAGGGCAGAGCTGGACACGCTGCAGGTAACGCTGAATGGGCTGCCCGAGAGGTGCGACGGCCAGGGATAGAGACCAGGGCAGAGCTGGACACGTGCAGATAACGCCGACTAGACCGCCCGAGAGGTACGACGGCCAGGGATAGAGACCAGGGCAGAGCTGGACACGGTGCAGTTAACGCCGACTAGACCGCCCGAGAGGTACGACGGCCAGGGGATAGAGACCAGGGCAGAGCTGGACACGGTGCAGATAACGCCGACTAGACCGCACGAGAGGTACGACGGCCAGGGATAGAGACCAGGGCAGAGCTGGACACGGTGCAGGTAACGCCGACTAGACCGCCCGAGAGGTACGACGGCCGGGGGACAGACCAGGGCAGAGCTGGACACGGTGCAGGTAACGCCGACTAGACCGCCCGAGAGGTACGACGGCCAGGGATAGAGACCAGGGCAGAGCTGGACACGGTTGCAGATAACGCCGACTAGACCGCCCGAGAGGTACGACGGCCAGGGATAGAGACCAGGGCAGAGCTGGACACGGTGCAGATAACGCCGACTAGACCGCCCGAGAGGTACGACGGCCAGGGACAGACCAAGGCAGAGCTTGGGGGTCCTGAACAAGGCCGGGATCGGCTCGGTTGGCGGGGGATGTGGTTCGGGTAAATGCTATAAACGTTAGAATGCGGAGGGAGAGCGTCGCCCCGGTTTGTTAACACTTCGTTTAGATATCGGCTAGGGTTGCTGGACGGTGTTGCGCTGTTCTGTGCACTTTTTCTCCCGGCGCGCGCGCTTGCATTGTGCCTGCATGTCGTTCGCAGTACCTGGTGGAGTTCTTGGAGGACGCCGAGGACCGGCTAGGAAACCTCGGTGCCGTCGGATCAGACATCGAGGCCGTCAAGAAGCAGATCAAGCAACTGATGGACTTCAAGGGCAAGGTTGACCCTCAGATGGTCAAGGTGGAAGCTCTGAACAGGTGAGCGGCGTGCACAGTATGCTGCCCTTACAGTGTAAGCTGGTTAAGCGGTCCCTATATTACTCTACAATCGACGTGAATAATTGCTATAAGGTGATGCATAGCGAGTTTAGAGTGCAACATTGGGAAATATCTGCTTTGGGGGGGGGGGGTGATGTGGATATATACTTGTAGTTCTTTCGTGAACTGTTCCGTACAATTTTGAGAAAAAAAAGTTCGGAGTGTTACGGGTCATGGCGATTCAGTCTCTTCGACTGCCTGTCCTATACACATAAGCGTTCGTCTCTTTCCACATGGGCGATGAGCAGAAGCATCAGAAGGCAAGTGTGTGCGTGTGGGACGCGATGCGATAACCACAGGCCTTATCATTGGCTCAGTGCTAGCGCGCCGAGTGAACCTGGCATGCACCGTTGCAGCGTGGGGTTGTCGTCATAGCCCAACCGTCCGCAAACGGTGACGGCTGGGTTCTAGCATGCTCCATCATAAATGGATGGGTCCTAGCCGGGTTTTTTCTGTACGGTGAGGCCGCATGGACTTCGCCACAGGCTGCGATTTCCGTTTGGTTTTGAAGTCGCATTTACTTTTTGTGCTAGCTTGCCGCGATCTCTTTGAAGGCACGGCATCGTGGTTTTTGTGTGCGTAGCGGAAAGAGCTGAAGTGGACGTTCTATAGCATACAGGTAGGGTACTAGCCCGCCCAGTCTGCACGGTGTGCGTGTTAACAGCAGACCAGTCACCCTAGTGATATTTTCGTGCTGCGGTACGTTCAGTTTTACCATCACGGTATGTTCGGGATGACACCGAATTATGCAGTTGAATCGCATGGCAGAGAATTGCATGCCCGGATTTGTTTTCCGCGTGTTCGGTGCTGTAAACCTTCTGCGATCATGGAAAAGATTGTTCTAAAGTCAGTAAGTGTCGTGGTGCAACGGGAACTAAACTGAAAGGCCTTTATCTCTATGAGAGTCCCCAGACCTGAGCAGACCAGATCGGGCGGCGCCCGCCTGACGGCGCCGCCGTCGCCTGGCGGGGTGCGCCTGACACTGACCGCTCCTCCGCCTGCCGCCTGCAGACAGGCGCAGGAGCTGATGGAGCGCACGTCGCCGGATCAGGCGGCCGCGCTCAAGCAGCCGCTCTCCGACATCAACACGCGCTGGGACGATCTGCTCAAGGGCATCGTGGAGCGGCAACGCGAGCTGGACCACGCCCTGCTGCGGCTCGGCCAGTTCCAGCACGCGCTGGACGAGCTGCTCGTTTGGATCGGGCGCACCGACAAGACGCTGGACGGTCTGCGGCCGGTGCTCGGCGACCCGCAGGTACGCCATGGGGTCAGAGGGGGGGCGGGCGCCCTCAGGCACGAGAGCCCGACCTTTGACAGAGGTGTAGGGCTGTCGGTGACCGATGGTGAGTACATCGCTGCGGAGCTGAGGGAAGGATTACAGGTGCTCGGAGAAGAGTTGCTGTAAATTGCATCTGTCGCGTGGTTTGTGTCGCGTGGTAAGATTGCCTGGGGCAGCATTTACTCAAAATTCTGAGGGTCGTGACCAGGCATCGCGTGGCAACTCGGTCTGCCTTCTGACATCCAGTACAGGGCAAGTTCCTGAGCTCTGCGCGGGCTCCACTGACTGTGCTGCGCCCCGCAGGTGATCGAGGTGGAGCTGGCCAAGCTGAAGGTGACGGTGAACGACATCCAGGCGCACCAGACGTCCGTGGACACGCTGAACGATGCCGGACGCCAGCTGATCGAAGACGACCGCGACTCGGCTGACGCCAGCGCCACACACCGCAAGCTGAACCAGCTCAACGACCGCTGGGCCGAGCTGCAGGAGAAGACGGCCGGCAAGCAGCGCGAGCTGGAGAACGCGCTGCGTGACGCCCAGGACTTCATGAACGAGATCCAGGATCTGCTGTTCTGGCTAAACGACCTGGACGGCGCGCTCACCACCAGCAAGCCCGTGGGAGGCTTGCCCGAGACGGCCAAGGAGCAGCTGGACCGCTTCATGGAGCTGTTTGGCGAACTGGAGCAGAATCGCTCCAAGGTGGACGCTGTGCTCACGCGTGGCGACACCTACATGAAGAAGTCGAAGGAGGGCGCAAGCACCAACCTCAAGCACAACCTGAAGACACTGAAACAGCGCTGGGAGCACGTCACCAACCGCGCCAACGACAAGAAGATCAAGCTGGAGATCGCGCTGAAGGAAGCGACCGAGTTCCAGGAGGCGTTGCAGGAGTTCGTCGACTGGCTAACGGGGTCCGAGAATGTGCTGTCCAACCTGCAGCCCGTCTCGCGCGTCATGGACAACATCATCAAACAGATCGACGAGCACAAAGAGTTCCAGAAGGAGGGTAAGCTCTCATCGTGAGTACATGCTCAACCTGGACAAGAAGGGCACACAGCTCAAGTACTTCTCCCAGAAGCAGGACGTGATCCTGATCAAGAACATGCTAGTGTCGGTGCAGCACCGCTGGGAGCGCGTCGTCTCCAAGGCGGCCGACCGCACGCGCGCACTCGACGTCGGCTACAAGGAGGCCAAGGAGTTCCACGACGCTTGGGCCGACCTCTGCGGCTGGATGGACGAGGCGCTGCAGGCCCTGGAGAGTGCCGACGCCTCGCTCGGCAACAACCCCAACAAGATCCGTGCGCTGCTCGATAAGCACCGCGAGTTCCAGCGGGCGCTCGGTGGCAAGCAGTCCAGCTACGACCACGTTATCAAGCTGGGTCGCGCGCTCATCAAGGACAAGGCGCCCAAGATCGAGGAGCCCATCATCCGCGACATGCTCAACGAGCTCAAGGACAAGTGGAACGCCTGCTGCAACCAGTCGGTGGCGCGCCAGCGCAAGCTGGAGGAGGCGCTGCTCTTCAGCGGCCAGTTCAAGGAAGCACTGGAGGCGCTGTTGGAGTGGTTGCGGAAGCGGGACGCCGCCCTGGACGACAACGCGCCGGTGCACGGTGACCTTGACACTGTGACTGCGCTCTGTGAGCAGCACAAGACCTTCGAGCAGGAGCTGGAGGGCCGTGGCACCCAGGTGCAGTCCGTCCAGAAGACGGCCGATGAGCTGATGAGCAAGGCTGACAAGAAGGACGCGGCCATCATCAAGACGCAGGTCAGTGGCGTCGCGTTAGTGGCATTGTGCAATGCTGCGGTTGTGCTTGCGGTCCATGCAGTGGGCGGTTCGGCTAGCGTTCGCGGCATTGAACGATACTGAGAGATCTGTGCGAGGTCGTGTTTTACTTGTAGCTGCGCCTGTAGGAAAAGTTAAGTTAGACCACATGAGGGTGATTGGTGATATTTGTGAAATTCCCTCATGTTTTCGCACCTTTGCACCTTGGTTGCATTTTCAATCAAGAGCAGAACGGTCTTCAAGTGTGAGGTTCTGAGCAAGCTGTTTTGATGCTTTTAACTTTTTATCAAATGGCAAATCTCCATGTGGCCCAAAGATAGCATAGCACGCCTCAGTTTTCCCAGCAGACCACAGAGATGGCTGGTTGGGACACAGTGCGCAGGATCTGACGTGCCCTCTCTCCACCGCGCCAGGTGACAGAGCTTACGACGGCCTGGACCAAGGTGGTGAAGTCGACGGAGCTGCGCAGCAGCCGCCTGAAGGTGGCGCTTCAGGACGCCGAGGAGCTGCATAAGGCCGTGCACATGCTGCTGGAGTGGCTGAGCGACGCCGAGATGCGACTGCGCTTCGTGGGCGCGCTGCCGGTCGGCGAGGAGGAGGCGCAACAGCAGGTGGAGGAGCACGCCGCCTTCCGCAAGGAGCTGGCCGGCAAGGAGGGCGAGAAGAACGACACGCTGCGTCTGGCGGCCGAGATCCTCGAGAAGGCGCACCCGGACGCCGTGCCGGTCATCAAGCACTGGCAGACCATCATCGAGTCGCGCTGGGACGAGGTCAGCAGCTGGGCGCTGCAGCGCCAGAACCGGCTGGACGAGCACCTGGCCGGCCTGAAGGATATGCAGGAGCTGCTGGACGAGCTGCTGCGCTGGCTGCAGCAGCGCGAGCGCCGGCTGGTGGAGCTGGAGCCCATACCGCTGCCCGACGATCTGCCCAGCGTGGAGGGGCTCATCCAGGAGCACCAGGAGTTCATGGAGGACCTGCAGTCGCGCCAGCCGGACGTTGACGGTATCTGCAAGCCCAAGCCGAAGGGCCTGCGCAAGGGATCCCGGGCGAAGAGGTGAGTAGCTTTGCGGTGTGCGTTCTTGAAACGTCAGATCCGTGAATTTTTTTGCATTTATGTATGTACACGTTCGCACACACACACACACATGCTTTATTGCTGTAAATCCGCTGGGAACAGGCAGAAAACGTGTTTGCCTTTGGCTCGGAATAGGTGTGGTGGGGTGGGTGAATGAATGCTGATTTTGTTTTGGCTTAGTCGTGCCACGGCAACAGTGATTTCGCAAACAAACACCGCTCATGCCTGCTTCTTCCTATGCCTTGTACCTGCCGAGCGACTGCAAACTCATGGAATAGCCGAGCCATGAATGGCAGAGACCGACTGCATCGGGACTGCAATGGCAGACTGCATCGGGACGCTCCCGCGAGGATGTCTGTCTGCGAAAATGAGTGGGCGTGTTTGTGCGCGCGCGCGCGCGTGTGTGAGTGCGCGAGCTACGCCGTGCGGGGATGTGGCAAGCCCACACTGGCTCTGTACAGCGCCTGTTCTCTGTCGCCGTTTCAGTCCTTCCCCGGCCCGCTTCGCCGAGAGCCCTCGGAGACAAAGGTGCACAATACGAGCTAACGCAGTGGTGCTGGCTGGCTGACGTAACGATTGGCTAACGAGCTAACGTGGTCCCGATAGCTCGACGGTGCGGCAGAGCTGGCCGGCTGACGCAGTAGGGCTAGTGATCTGACGTGCCAGGGACCGGTGATCGCCGTAGCCGGGGTGCAGAGGAGCACGGTAGAGCTGCGCAGCTAGTACAGCTAACTGGCTAACCTAAACACCGGACTCACCTCAGCCACAGCGGGTCTCGTGTGCAACTAGAAAGACCAGCTGGGCTGAGTCGATAACCACCTGCTGTTCAAACGGAATTTTCAAGACACCGAAGTCATATCCCCGCGTTATGGATAATTTCTTTGGTCCGCCTTGTCCATCTCGTCCTGACCTGAAGTGCCCCCCCCCCCCCCCTGCGTGTTCTGTCCTGTCGTGTCGACGGCGCGAGCTGACAGGCTCTATTCATCTTCGCAGCCAAATCACCCCCGACCGCGAGGGAACGCCAGCCAGGAGGAGGTACGTACCCGTCGGTACTGCATCACCATGGCGCATGCGACGGCACGCACGATCGCCTTGGCATGATTCCCTTTGCATGATTCCCTTTGCATGACTCCCTTTGCACAACTGCTTGGTGCAATGCTGTATGCCTGCGTTGATGTAGCCAGTGACGTAGCCTTGGTTGGCAGCTGACAGATTGACGAACAGGGGCGTGGTCCGGTGATGGCCTACCGCGAGGAGGGACGGCTAGCGTCTGGCCATGCTACTCTAGTCTACACACCCTGCAAACCCAGTAACTGACAATCGGTGGGGCTGTCGACTCCGGCAGACTTCAGCGCTCACCTGCTGTATGGCTCCTTGGTCGGGTGCAGCAACATAGACCTGGATGCAACTTGCTAAGAGTCTAATCACAAGGCATCAGACAGTGTTCTGCCGGCGTACCATAGACGTACGCGGCATACGGCGCTCAGAGGCTGGCGGTGACCGCTTACGTTCCACTAACATGTATCGTCTGGCGTCCTAATGCAGCGCGCTATAATACAATAATGATAACAATATATTGTTGCTTTATATAATATAAATATATATATATATATATATATATATATATATATATATATCCCCCATGTGTATATATATATGTATATATATATATATATATATATATATATAATAAGGTACCTGCGCCTTATTTGCTGCGCATAACATTGGCAATATGCTGCCTGTATTAACGAGTCTGAAACATTAAACACCTTTGCCATCAGCATTGTGGGAGCGTGGGCCCCTTCATTAGCCTTGGAAAATTTGTTTTCCTTTTTCGGGCGACTGAATTGTGTCACACACAGTGAGGGGGTCGATTTTGTGACCTTCTGGGAGTCATGTCTCGCAAAAGTAGAGCTAGTCGATGCTCAGCGATTTCCCATGTGTAAGCTCAACAGATTTTGCTGCTATCGTAGCAATGTGTTTGACCTTAAGTGGCAAATTTAATGGCAGGTCGGACGTCATTGCACCACCAATATTTTTTGCTGCACAAGTGAACTCAACCATAACCGGTTTTCACAAGTGTGTGACACTGACTTGCATGAAGAGAAGTGATGACCCAGCCCGGTCCAACCGGCTCCCATCCACCGCTGTCGAGGAGTTCTGACCCACTAACGGGGCCGGCGACCCGGGCGGCCCCCTAACAAGGCCAAGGGCGGGGTGCATGCGGCGAAGACGGGGCGGGGCGGTGGAGCGGCCGACCAATGACGGCGCCGGCCGGCCGACGGTGTGACCTCTGTGCCCCGTGTGTCTGCCACCAGCCGTCACAGTCCCGACCGAGAGGGCTCACCGAGTCGGGGCTATGCCAGACCTTGGCTGTCCAGCGCCAGGTACTTTGACTTGTGCGTCTCGCCGTAGCTAGATGGACAGAAGGTCCGCCGTTCCTCTCCAAGAGCCAGGCGCTGGCGCGGCCACTAGCTTCAGCACGGCGACCTCGCAGGCTCCTGAGCGCACAGACAGCTGCATGTCGGACGTCTGGTGCTGGCTTCCGCACTCACCAGAAAAGTAGCCTTGTGGACGCCCATCTTTCTAGCGTTTGCTAAATCGTAGGAACTGGCCTTGTGCAAGATTCATTCGGCCTTGTTCGTGGCAAGGAGCCTGCCACAGCGCCTCTGTCGCATGACTTTATGCCACTGTCGTCACTTCTGAAGCGGACACCAGGGCTTCTTTCTACATGCATCAGTCCTGCCGTTGCTGATATGGTCCTACGTCTGCGCTAACACTACAGACAGCACCACAACACATCTAGAAATTTCGCACAGACATTGCCCGGCATGAAAGACAGACCCATGGACTCGTTTGTGGACACATTGCATGTGGCATGCAGTTTTTGTGTTTTATTGCGGCATGCTATTTCCTCTCATGCTTTTGTTGATATGCTTGCAATGTGATGCTTCGTCTGACGCATTTTGCTCGTCTGAAGAAACTATTTGGTTGCATTTATTTAGCTTCCCCGTTTTTATGTGTTGACTGAATGGTGTTGTTAGGCTGCTTTCCCATAGTTTGAATATTTTTAGCAGAATACAAATGTAATGCATGTGCTCAGAGCAGCTACTGGCCCAGTTGCAGTCAGAGCATCAGCAGGCTCACCGGTCAGTTCTGCGCCAGCGGTGCCGAACTGGCCGGTGTCGTGCTGGCCGGTGCCCCCCCCCCCCCCCCCCCCTGCGTGTGCTCGCATGCCGTTGCCGTGTGCTGCCGCCCGTCCGCCGGCGCCTGACCCGGTTGGCCTGGCAGGGTGGGCAGCCCGGGCCGCGAGACGACGCCCGACAACTCGGCCTGGCCTCGCATCGGCCCCGTCTTCGCCGGCGGCCCGTACCCGCCGGGCAGCAGGAGGCCCAGGTAGGCGCGGGCGGGGTCTGGCAGCCGGCACTGGAGAGACGCTTGGCGTCCTGCGCTGACCGGCAGTTGGCGCTTCCTGCCGCTGGTCAGCGCCCGCCCGCAGTTCGGCCTGCTCCGGTGTGACGCGACAGCGGTGCTTTGCCTGTTGAAGCGTGGAGACGTGGCTGTCTAAGTGCTGTGTAACAATGGCTGAGGTGGGGTTTGTTGTGGGGATGACTGTTTTCTTCCCACATTAGCCAACAAATGCACAGTGATGGAGATTCAGCCAACTGAAGGCGAGACATGTCATGGCCCGCGCCTTGTGGCGCCGGCCACCGTTGCGGCGCAGTGCGCACCAGCCCATGACGGGGCGGTGCGCGATCTTTCAGCCGGCACAGCATCAGCGAGCCGTCGCTTAAGAGTCCGCACCAGCGCCAGCTGTGGGACACGTGGCGCAACACGTGGATGCTGGCCTGGGAGCGCCAGCGCCGCCTCCAGGACAAGTTCAGCTACGCCCAGGAGATGGAGAAGCTGCAGAACTTCGACTTTGACGAGTGGCGCCAGAGGGTGGGTGTCACGCCTTGTTTATATGGGTCAAAACCGCTTTGTTTCGGCTGAGATGATACATCCATGTCTTGGTTAGAACAAATAACTTCATTCGATGGCTCGCCTGCATGGATGCAAATATCTTCTCGTAGCTGATGGGTTTGGTGGCCATTGAGATCCACATTATTGAGCGTATGACATACGCCTTATGCTAATTTTGCTACACCTTACTAGGCTACTGAAAGACTTTCAAATGCGAAAGAGCTCCAACCACACTGCCTTTATGAATGTTCGTGCTTTTAGGAACTACCTTAAATATAAATGAGCTCAGCACTGTCGGAGTGTGCTTTATCGGCATGTTTCAGGACCTTGGCCCTGTGAATGTCATGACTTGTGAACAGCCGTTTCGCACTTAAGGCATTGCTTTCTTACTTTGTCGGTCATTGTCATGATCATGGTTTTTGTGGCAGTTCATGAAGTATGCCAATCAGAAGAAGATGCGCATCACCGACCTATTCCGACGAATGGACGTTGACAACGACGGTTTCGTCACCAAGGACGAGTTCAACGAGGGCATCATGAGAACACGTGAGGAAGAGGGGTTGCCGTCGCGCTTCACAAGGACCGCGGCCTCGGCGCTGGCCCGGATCTCCATTGCTTTGCTCTGCTCCCTGCCGCCGTCGTGCCGTGCTCTCTCTCAGGCACATTATGTGTGGCTGCATCCCGTGGGTTCTGGGTTCAGTGTCGTGAGCGTTGTACGCCCAAAGGGTCAGGTCAACGGTCACTGCGTCATCACCATGTCAATCGTCACCATGGATCACCGTGTCTTCACCGTGTCAGTCCTCATCTTGGATCATTATGTTCAGCTTTCGAATTTGTTAGGAGCACGTGATGTGCAAACTTTTAGTTTTGTTAAAATAGTTCTAACTTCATTCTAAGGGCGCGTCAGCTGCCAATAACGATACACGTGAAGTGATTTTGGAACGTCCTGCTTAATGGTTAAGGTTAGAAATTGTGACTGTTCGTAATCTTTATTCCGTCATATCCGACGCGTTGAAAAAGCGGTAGGAACCACACCCGCGGCCCAGGTCACCACCGGCCTGATCCGGCTCTGGAGCTAGAGATCTGCCGTGAGAGCTCGTGCGTCACCACGGCGACCGCTGCTGACCCCCTCCTCCTGTCGTCCGCAGACTTCCCGACCTCGGCGCTCGAAATGCAGCTGGTCGCTGACCGTGTCGACAAGAACCAGGACGGCCTCATCGACTACAACGAGTTCATGGCAGCACTTCGGCCTGATTGGGAGAAGAACCGGCCGCTCACCGAGGCCGAGAAGATCGACGACGAGGTCAAGAAGGCCTGCAGCGCCTGCAACTGCCGCTCCAAGTTCAAGGTCTTCCAGGTCGGCGAGGGCAGATACCGGGTGAGTGCTGTCGCGGAGCGGCGGCGGTTCCAGCGGGCGGTCATCACGACATGGTCAGCTGACGTCACAGGCTGCCCGCCCCGACGCGCGGCTGGGCCCAGCTGATCCTCGCAGCATGGGACTGAGGAGTACTTGTGTACACACATCGTGTCTACCGAGCATGTCAGAGGACTGTGCGTGTACCCGGTCGGGTTTGCTCTGACGATGAGGTTCAAAGACGCGCCGGTCGAGTGGTGCCCCGGCAGCCCTGCACCAGTAGTGAGCCTGAGGACGGGCCGCGAACCGGGCGCCGCGCGCGGGCCTCACCTGATCTGGCCTGGCCTGACCCGTGGTGTCGGCCCTGACGCTGCCGCCGTCCGCTCCAGTTCGGCGACAGCCAGAAGCTGCGCCTGGTGCGCATCCTGCGCTCGACAGTGATGGTGCGTGTCGGCGGCGGCTGGGAGGCGCTCGACGAGTTCCTCGTCAAGAACGACCCGTGCCGAGGTGAGCCTGGCGCTGCGGGGCGCTCTCGCGACGCCAGCAGGGAGGGGGGGGGGGGCAGCTGCAGGGCCGCACCAGCTGCACGGCCGAGGCCCCGCCTCTGGGGCGGCCACGTCACTGGAGAGGGCTGTCACGGCACTGATGTCGGCGTATGACGTCGTGACGCCGGTAATGCATGACCATGCGGATCTCGCCGGTGCCAGGAGACGTGTGCTTTGACGCTACGCCTTTTAGATGCCTGCTGTAGTTGCCACAAGACAAATTGCATTAACATAGCGGCCTTGTAGGAAAGAATTGGTCATTACGCTGTGACTTGGCAGACTGGTGTGTATGTCATCGCGCTTCCCTGATAACGTGCCGCATGGTTTCATCTGTGTGTAGCTGCCAACTTTTAACCGGGGCTCTTTTTACGATGAAAAGGCCTGCGATCGTCCATAGAGGAATAGGCAAAGCTTCTTTTGCTCGCAGTTACCGCGCTTTTTCTTCGATGATCGTTACAAGTGCTTTAGTCTAATATGCATCATAACATGCTTCAAGCTAGTGCATCTTAACAACTGTGTGAAGCCGGTGCCTAACTCGAGCAGTGCTCTAGAGAGCCGCTAACAGTAGAACCATAGTGGAACTAACACAACGTCCGCTTGCCCCGCCACCGCCCTGCCTTCCGTGCCTCGTGCCTGGCTCCGCCTCTGACCTGCCTTCCCTGCCTCGTGCCTGGTTCCGCCTCTGACCTGCCTCCCCCGCCTCGTGCCTGGCTCCGCCTCTGACCTGCCTTCCCCGCCTCGTGCTGGTTCCACCTCCGACCTGCCTCTCCTGCCTGATGACCTGACTCCATCCCCGCCCGTCCCGCCGCCCCGCCGCCGCGTCCACGCCGGCGCTGCCAGCCGGCGGTCCGCGGGAGTTCCGGCTCACCCGCCGCCTGCTGCTCGAGGAGCGCCACGAGCCCGGATGCCCGATGACGGACCAGCGTAAGGCCCCGCCGTCCCCGCCCGCTCCGGCACGCTGACGCACACCAGGCCGGTCGCGGCAGGGGCATGCATGTGCTGTGGTGTGGTGTGGTGTGGCTTTGAACGGGTGTAGGAACGGCTTGAGTTGCTTGGGTCGTCTCCTAGCGTCCCACGCGTCTCGCATGCCGTGTTGGTGTATCTGCGAGCTGTGATTGGTCCAACTGGAGGATGAACGGTTGCGGGTGCTGCCGTAATTACTACAGAAGTTGCAATCACATCGATTGTGGAGGGGTCATTTGACATGCCTACGAAATGTGTAGAGCTGGCTGGAAATGCGAACAGCGTGTTTATGTCGTCTGAACTCTTGTCTTTTTATGTAACGTGTGGCATCCATACCCACTGCATCTACTTAAAAGGCAAATACGCCTTCAGGGTTGTTCGCCCAGGCACGACTTGTAAGTCATTCGCATTGAGTCAGATACCAAACATGCCCTTCCGAAATCCGAACTCAAATGGATCAGTAGTCCATAAAACGGGGGCGTGCTACCACCGTCGGTGTTACTTTGCATGCTTGCCTGTCAAAGCACTGCGCTCTCCATGACCTGGACTTTGTATCGTTGGCGTTGCAAGCATGCTTTACGTGTGGAACGCTTCCGTTTTCGTTCGTTCTTGTCCTCTGACATTTTTGCTTTGAAGGTTTGTAGATAGCCACTCAACTGCCACCACTGTATTTTGGTGTTTAGGAGCTTAATGCTGCGTGAACATGCGCAGTGTTTTTTTTTTTTTGGCATAGTCCTGCATCGGTTTACTCCAGCGGTAGTAGCCCTGGCGTCCCGTGGTGTGCCGTGTGACCCGGAGCGCGCCTCCGCCGGCCTCCGACTTAACCGCCCTCCTCACTGCATGGCAGCTAAGGGACGCACCAACGTGGAGCTTCGCGAGCAGTTCATCCTCGCGCCGGGGGTGTCGCAGAGCATGGCGCCATTCAAGGCCAAGGCCGGCAGCCCGTCGTCGCCGCGGTCGACATCTGTGCCTACGGCCGGGCCCATCACCAAGGTACGATGGCTCGGCGGCGCGGCGACGCTGGCGCATGCGCACTCTGAACCGGCCGGGTCTCGCCTCTGTTTCAGCTGCCTACTTCATGTCGCAGCTGATGCCCATTTTCGAGAGCATTCGACATCGCCAGGACATTCCGTGCACGTATCCCATTAAGGTGGAGCGGCCGGCCGCCTTCCTCCGGGTAACGCGTGACGCTGATTGGCCGCGGCGCCGCAGCTCGGCATGTGATTGGATGCGGCGACCGTGGCTCGCGTTTGGAGTGTTTGGCTGCTGTGCTGTGGTTCGGCATGCGATTGGTCTCGTAGTTCGTGGGTCGGCGGGACTTTGGCTACGGCCGCCGCCGCTCAGCACGCGACAAGCTGCCAACGGATGCTGTTTGCCGCTGGTTTGCTTCCACTACTGCTATGTGTTGTGTTTGCAAGAACTGGCCGACCAGCCCTCGTTGCTTAGTCAGCAGCGACGCCGGAGTTTAACAGCGTTTTTTCCGTGACAATGCTGACAACCTTGGAGAGGGCTGTAAAAGTTGCATATTTGTTTGCATGTATATACTACTGTTTCAATCTAATCTTAAGATTTTGGTGAAGCAGAAAGTTAATCTGTATTTGCATCTTGCCCGTGTGCTAGTTGCAATGGTAGATCTCACTGCGGCATCGCGAAGCCTCATGAATGCCCAAACCCCATTGATCCTGCATCAGTAAGTATGCGTACGTTTGTGTGTGTCGTTTATGCCGTGCGCCCGCGATGTCGTAAATGCTGGTCCGATTTTTGATTTAGACCAATATTCGCGACTGACGAACGCTTGTGTTTGTGTAACGTAAAAAAAAAATTGTCTTGAGATCTTTATTGGCCTTTCAGGGGCGTGATTTAATTACTGATCCCGCCTAAAGCCATTTCGGGAGGTACACTGTTTTGGCTTCAGCTCGTCGTTTTCAGGCTTTAAGTAGTACATGACTACTTGGGGAAGAATCGAAATACTACTACCTGATGTTGCGTGGACGGCACCCGTGTTAACTGGTGTAACTTTACCGGAGGAGACTGATGGAGCGGTGTGAGGTTTAGGGCTAGAATCGCGTGTACTGCCACGCATCGCCCCATCGCCCGGTACGCTGTCGACAAGGCGGACTGCGGCTGCTGCAGCTGCTGGGGGTCCTCGTCCCGCTCTGGCGGCCCCACTGACGCCCTTGCCTCCCCCGTCGCCCGCCAGGTGCGTGAGAAGACTGGCCGCAGCATCCCGTTGTCGCGCGCCTCGCTGTCGGGCCCGCCGGGCGCGGCGGGCGCCGAGCTGAGTCCTCACGACGGCTTCAGGCTGCGCAAGGCTAGCACGCCGCTGCGCAGCTCGCAGGGCGGCAGCAAGCCGCCGAGCCGCGCCAGCTCCGAGGCCAGCCTCGATTCGGTCGACGCCCGGCCGACCCCCTACCGCGCCGGCACGCCCGGCCAGGCGGCGCATCGCGGCGCGCGCAAGGTACGCCGCGGAGGGCAGGGCCACGCGCGGCAGGGGGCGTTACGACGCGCTGGGACACGACACGGGTGTGCGATGCGAGGCGCGGCAATCCACGGCAGCGTATGTCGCAGGGGTGTGTTCGGGGACGCGGCATGGCGGGGCGGGGCGCACTACGCCACGCCGCGGCATGTGATACTCGGCGTGAGATAGTAAGATGGTCAACTCTCACGCGCCACTAGCCCTGGCATAGAGTGACGTTTGCTAAGCGCTGCATCGGTGTTTGGCCGCGGAGCAAGCGTGCGTTGATAATGATGCTGTTTGTTAGCGCAGCTTCACGAGTACTATTCACATCTCGTGGTGAGGGGTATTGTCGACGTATGCTCGGTTTTCGTTGATTGCGTTGGTTTTTCGGGCATTGGAAAGTGAAAATCGTCGTGACAATGTTAGCTGAGCGTCTAGGACCAAGTGAAAACGCGCCCTAAGAGCAGAACGTCACTTCCCAGGGCTCTGCGACGCCAATGAGTAAAACCTCGTCGTCCGGCCAGAACGGCGCCTCGAACGGTGCGGACGGCACTCCGCAGCAGAGGTGAGACCCGCCGGCATGATGACGTCATACGGACGGTGTCAGCCTGCCGCGATGGTAATGCCACCGAGACTATCGAGCCCCGGCAGCCGGCAGCCAGCGACGACAGAGCATCGACGCTGGCCTCATGTTAATTAAGTACCTCAGAAGGCAAAGGGTTATTCGAGTCAGTAGTTGCCTCTAGTGATGGTAAGTAATAGTACCTGGCTCTTTGTAGACTAGATTAAATGCAACAGCTCACTCGCTGCCATGCATACATGGTGGCGAACTAACCACCATGGTATGTGTGGTGGCTGTCAACAACAAGAGGCCTTTAGGCACTGCTTTGACCACGTGTGATGCGTGCTACTAAGTACTAACCGGCACTAATCTTCTAGGCGAATTCCAAAGCGCCCCGTCCTCGGTAGCGTCCATGGCGCCAGGAGTTACCAGTCCAAGGTATTCTACCCAATCTTGTTTCATCGTGCTTCACTGGCTTCCAGTACACTGTACCGTAATAACGCGAGCTTATCTCACGTTGACATCGCGTTTTGCATAGTACCTACTAGGCTCATGCCACGTAGATAAAATTGCTGCGTAGTCCTTGCTAGAATGTTTGGTTCAATCGCTTGTTCTGATTGCGGTAAATAATATATCACACTCTTGGTTGACGAGGACCGACATGACCCGTGACCACAGCAGGGCGCTGGCGTTAGTTACCAGTCGGCACTGCTGTGAGCTCGGACACCGCAGCAGGGAGCGTGCGCCGGTGCTCATCACGTGGGACTGGGAACTGTTCTCCAGCATAACCTGAACACCATTGATTCGGGAGAATAAAGAAGTATCCATGGGATCTCCTGGGGTCAGGGATCAACGGGGTTCCAGGGAGCAATAGCCCCCCCCCCCCTCCATCCCCAGAGGCGTTACCCCTGCCCATAACGTGGCGTCAGGGGTTACGGTGGCAGGGCGGCTGGGCGGCGTGGTTGGCCTGCGTCTTTCTGGACTGACCACCGCCGGCTGTACCCAGGAGCACCACGCCCCAGGGCCGGCGGCCCGTCTACAGAGCCTCCTCCACGCAGAGCATCCCCGCCTCGCTGGGAGCCGCCGCCACTAACACCCCGGTCGTCAGGTACTAACGGCCGCGCGCCTCGCTAACGCCGCGCGCCGCGCCGTCCTCGTGGTCCAATATGAGCTGCCTCTGCCGACTGGCCAGTCGGGCCTGCGCTAACATGTGCTTAACAAACATGGCCGTAAGCATACTAACGCCTAGCCCCTGGCGGCAGGGTCGCATAGACTAACTTTCATTTGGTCGTGGTCTCGACAATATTTGTTAGGAGTAACAGCATTTGTGTGGATGTGTCGGCCGTGTGAGGAGGCTAACATGAGTGGACTAATTCACGCAGTGGGCGGCTCAGCCGGTCTCGTGCCTCGTCTCAGACCAACCTGACGACGGCTGGCAAGACACCTAACGGCCGCAGGTATGAATTGTAGTACGGAAACTAACAACAGATGTCGTAGGCACCACCGCTGCTGTCATCTGGGTAGGTACTGTGGGATGGTCTTAGCCGATGGATTTTTAGCAAATGGAAATTGCGTATGGACTATGTGGCACTTGATGGCGAAAACACACCCGAACTTAATGATTTCAAGGAAGGCCAGCCCCAAAATATGGCAACTGTGCCAGATGAAGCCAAGCTAGTTAAAGGTATTATTTTCGTTGACCTTTTCACCCGCCTTACTTGCCCCATTCTTGCTTCATCCTGCATCCTCGCGACGTCCCGTTTGTCCGAGGCAGCTGCTGCACCAGCCCTGAAAGGCCGAGGCGCGCCCTGGTAGGCCTCGTCGAGCGTCGAGCACATACCCCGAATAGGGGTTCCCGTGCAGGCTTAGACTTGGCGAACGGACCTCGAGGTGTGTGTAGTGTGCGTTTACCCCACCGTTGTCCATTGCCCCCACCCCATAGCCCTGAAACGGTCACGACGGCTGAAGGGCTTTAATCCAAACAACCTACACAACTTTGACCTCAAGTCGGAAGTCATCTGCTCTTCGAATGTGACCTGCGGATCCTTCGGGAGAAAAAAATATTGCATTGCTCAAAAATGGTGTTTGTGTGGTAGTAGGTCCGAAATGGTCCTGGACGTCAGTTTATTTGGGTTTGTCTTCCCAGCTGTAAATCACATCGGTTGTTACCCGGTGAGTTCGCGACTGGCGTGTGTACCTGAAGGCGTGGGCGTAAAGGGCGTGCTCTTTGTGTTCGCCTCTATGTATTTAACATGTCATTGACCTCCGTACGCCGGTTTTATTTCAGGCCTGGCGGAGGTGGTTCGCAAATTCCTGTGTCGTCCATGAAGAGGTAAATGTGTGACAGCGATGATGGCACCATGCCCGCGTGCAATTCCTGAAACGCCGTGGGCGTCAATGTGGTTGGGCGCATTTCAGCACCGTGTACACTCAATGTGATCAATGTGATCACACCGTGATCGAACTGCCAGTTCGATCTTCCCATATCGTCCAAAGGCGTTCTGATTGTTCCAAAAAGAACGTCATCGGTAAATGGTCAAGATGGCTGATCCTGCAGTCTAAAGCTTGTTTAAACGAATTGTGTCCCCCCCCCCCCCCCCCCCCCCCCACCCACCGTGTGGTATAGGTACACGGTAAGCTGCGACACGCCCACCTGATCCATTTGGTGTATCGTTTGCTCTGCACGCTGTAACGATCCCGCAAAGTTTGGCTTAGATAAGGATTAATGAGAGATCAGTACTGACTGGTGGAACCTCCATTATGACAGATGTTAAGTTAAAGCGTTACGGCCAAAAATAAAGCGCAAGAATGTTGATGTTCCAATCGTTTAAATTTGTTGGGTTCGAGTCGCTGTTTTTTTTTTAGTATTTCCTACTCGTTCCAGAAAAATAGAATGGAGATAGTTTGTGGCTGGTTCAACCCCCTTGCAAAAAGGAAGGCGGGATAGTTTTTTCGTGATAGAGGTGTGCAGTTGCGCCCCTTTATCCACACTGTTTATCCAGACGTGATTGTCCGCATCACATTGCATTGACCAGATTTGTCAGATCGTAACACGTGCGCCGTTTTCAGGGAGCGCTCCAGCTCGAAGATCCAGCGCCGGTCATCCACTGCCAGCGACACGCCCCGGGGGCAAGCCAAGAAGCCCCTCTGGCACTGACCCGGCGCGGCCAGCCCCTCCCTGACCCCCAGACTGAAGGGACCACGCCTGCAGCGGCCAGCTGGCTTATCACCCCACTTATCCGAACACGGGCCAGAGCGGAGCAGCTAGTGCATAATGATCACTAACACACACACTGCGAGGTACTCATCCTCGGCTCTAACAGTCTTTCTATCGTTAATGATGTTGGCAGCCTGCGTCGCGACGCGTCGTGTATTGTCATGTTATTTTTGTCGGGCGCGGGCCCCGCCGGCGTCGGTGTGCGCGTGACTGCGGCGCCACGCCGCTATCGTGCGCCAGAACTACTCGAGAGAGACTAATCGTAGACGCTGGCGTGCACGCACGTGTACGGGTTTTCTAATGTTTTGTATGCGCTTGAGAAGCGTGTGTGACGTGCTCAGAGGCATCTATTGCTTGTTAAAAGACTTGGCATGTGAGAGAAGCCGGTTGAGGCGCGTTATTGGGCGAAGCGTGGGTGCGACGCCAGCTGACGACCCGCCGCCTGACGTCACCGGCTTTCGAGTGATGCGGCAGAGTGTGTGCTGGTTCGCAGTGCTGTGTCTGGACTGTCCTGCGAGCCGGCTGATCGGCACTGGATTCGGAGCGGTCCTGCGCGGCCTCCGATTGGTCGGTGGTTAACGTCCTAATCAAATGATGTAACATGTCGATGTCCAGCAAACCGCTTGAATAAACCGTTTGACCACTTGATCGCAGCGTGAATGCCCCCGTGTTAGCAAACCCTAGTTCTGGAGGATCGAAGGCTTGCTAAGCGTTCCTGGTGCTGAACGACGATGTTTACCTTGAAGTGGTTTCTCGGTCAGCCATTTAAGTGCTGGCGTGTGTGACCAGTAAGCAGAATCCCCTATTCATGTGCGCGGCGTAAATACCGTCGACGTTTCCTGACTCTGGCCTGCGCCATCATGACATCACGATATCCCAATGAAAACAAAAACAAAAGCAAAGCAGAAATGCAACGCCTTGCGAGTGTTGCATCGCGCAGGTGGTGTTGCGTCTCCCAGTTGAGGCACTGATGCGGTTTGCATAATTGTCGGTGAAGATGTGATAAATCCTCAGGGCGACCGGACATCCATACCGGCAGCTTTACCATACGCGATCTTGGTGTTTCGTGGCTCCAATAGTGTGTTTTGATGGGGATGGCTTTAACACGTCTAAATGGCGGCCTTTCTATGCCAGGGAGGTCAAAGGGCCCTTGCCAAGCATTACAGTACATTTAACTCTTTGCCATAAAGATCTGCCGAAGAATTGGAACCTCACAATGGGAAGGCGGGGTCAGGGCGCACACAACAATCCTGCTTGGCGTGAGCTCTGATCTCAAAATGCAACGGTCAAAAAGGCTTTAAAGACAATAATGACAAAAACAGAGCATGTCACCCAGGCATATATATGATCGCATTACGGGCCGCAGTTAAGGTCATTGGGACCCCAGCTCTCCGGCCAACACAGGACACCTTCAGAACAATCGCGGACCCCGGCCGTATCCCTGCTTCGTAAATGGGTCCCCTGGGCCCGAGCCCAGTCAGAGCTAACTGCTCAGCATTGGTGATCTCCGACCTACATAGAAGTCTTCGTCGTCCCGGGGACACCTGACAGGTGCAACGAGCCCTTTAGACTGACCTTCGAGGGCCGGGGCCTTCATCCCAGGGTCGTCCCCGGCCAACCCTTTCATGCCCTCCAAATCCACACGAAACACTTGACTGCGCCCCCCTGCGTGCAGGAACGCATGAAACTCGATGCAATTCAGCGAGTTGCTCTCCGAACGCAACTTCGATATGAATAACAACGTCCTAAAACATTGGCAAGGTGATGCCAGTTTGGTTGACAAATGACCATTTTTGCCAGTGGGCTGAATATCTTAGATTCTGGTGACAATTCTCGATTTCCCCCTATCTTCTAGTTCTACTTCTTTTGTGCAAATACAAAAATGTGGTGCATATTGCTTTTTCTAGACATTTGCCTTATGTTTTATTGGTGGCAATAATGCAATCGGCGGTGAAGTGTTTATTTTGGCGCGACTCATATTGTTTGGAAACAAGTGCACCCCTAAGTCAATTTGAGCTCATTTTTGGTACCCGGTTGATAGGCATGGGTTAGGAACAGGGGGGCCAGGGGGGGCCAGCAATGTTAATTGGCCCCCGCTTTTCAGATTAAGGATGCATTTGGTTTACTTTTGCACTACAATAAACACGCACGTCGATTTGCCTAGTTCACCAGCCAGCTCCCTTAATATACGTCATCTTTTTCGTTTGCTCGCTGACCGTCGCTTAGTGTTACAGCGATAAGGCGGGCGCCGCACGGCCTGGGGACTGCAACGCGGCCGTCGGGCTGTTGTTGCTACGACTTGCGAGCGTGCACGTTCAAGACACGTGAAACGTGTACTGCTAAACGTAAACGTATTGCACACGTGAAATATGCGCTCAGACTGCCCTCTAAATGTAAGAAATGATGTCATAAGGCGTTCAAGAATACTTTTTCAGAAGCGTCGTCATTTTCGTCCACCCGCTGGCCACAGCTTAGTATTAGCTGCTAGACCGGCGCTGCGCGGCCTACGGGAACTGCAACGCCTGGGGTCGAGGCTTGTGTTTCTAAGATTTTCGCGTGCGCATACTCAAAACTACGCCACATAACTTGTGTCATCATTTTCGTCCACCGGTGGGCCACGTCTAAAAGTTAGCTGCTGGACTAACGCTCAGCGGATAATGGAGACTGCAACGCCTAGTGCCGAGGTCTTGTAACCATTGTAAACTAAGAGCGCCGGCGATTCATCCCATGCAGCCGTTCATCGCCTGATTTCTGCAGTTGTTATACCTCAAAATACAAACGGAATTGAGCTCACATTAGCTTCTGGCTTCTGTTCTGGTTACAAGGTGAAAATAACAATAAAACGAAGAAAACCGTGTCCCTTGTTAACAAGTTAGCTATATCCGGGGATTTGGTGGGATCACCATAAGATGGGCTTTTGTCAACCCCGTGTTCCCTCCTGGCAAGGCCCTGGCTACGTCCCTGCCTACACGCAAAAGCAGATCGAGTCACATACGTTCCATGATGGGCGATGAAGTGTCAGTTGGGCCAATTCATACCTAAGGGAGGCAGCTTCCCGGAGGCTATTTTTCTGCGGTGGTGTTGTGTCAGGGAAGATAATTCGGAGAAAGATACTGTTGCTTGGCTTTTGTCACCTTATTTCTAGCAGTTTCAAGCGTCCGAATTCGTTTCCGCCTAAAATTCTGCTACAAGTCTTATCTCTTGAAAAGCGGTCGGCGAAATGAAGGCGCATGACAAATCTGTCACACTGTGAGCCATCGATCCACTTTCAAAATTCTCATCAGCCTATATCCAGGCCGCATTTTGGCGTCCGCACTGTGGAGGCAGATGCTTCCTGATGACCCAAAAATGCCTACCCGGTCGTGGAATTTTGCCTCTCCAGAAAAGACAATATTAAAATGGACGAATAATCTTGGGAAGCTGGATAGCCTTATTTGTCAAATGGCAGACGAGTCGAATAGGCAAGATTGCGCACCAGCGAGAAACAGCTCCAGATGCATATCTAGCGTAACAGCCATGCCATTTGAATGAAGAGCGATAACAATCTCCATCCCTACCCCTTCCCTCCCCCGCGGTTATCGGGCTAGCTTTTCAGAAAATTTTGCTGGGGTACACCCTGAGTTTGCCCCCCCCCTACTTTTGAAACGTTCCTACACCTATGTTGATAGGGAGCCCATTTTTTTACTTTAGCTGGATCCTGCCTCCGTGCACCGAAACAAGCTGCCATGATGGAATAAAAGGATGTGATACACGATATCATATACATCATTCGTTCCAAAAACAAACCATGTCTTGCCTTAAAGTGCGTTTGTTATCAATCCAAGCCCAGAATGTGGTCATTTCGACCCATCAGAACGTTTCCACAAAGCACATCTGTACTTTAATATACATAACAAGAAAATATTTCCCCAATCCTTGAAATACGTACTTCGTCGACGAGCATGTACGCAATTGTGACGAAATGTAGATTGGCAGTCGCATCGACGGTTGCCCTAAATATAGGTCACTGGGCTTCAGGTGTCACTGTTTTGACTTGGAGAGGTGCGCACTGAAGGTCGTTGTAGGAGAGTGCAGAAGTGTCAGCTTTGTAGGTTGAAGGTGTGCGTTTTGAAGTTTAAAGGTGTGTATCATTTTAGTTCATATTTCTCTTGGGAAACTCTTGTGCGCGTAATTTACGCGGATTTGTATGTAGGATTTGAAGGTCCAGTAAAAATGCAATCCTGCTACTCCACTGTTGATTGTGGCGTTCTGACTCAGCAAAGTTAAGCGTTAGCGCATTATTGTTTGCTGATGGCATGCATTGATGCATTGAATGGTATGTCCTCTATTTTTCTACTGAAGTACTGCTCTTATCTGATACACTGTATATGGCTATTTGGTTTCAAAACATAACTTGAAGCTTGAAAACATATTCTTGATTTATCCACTGTGCTGGATGTCTATGCCAATAACTTCATCTATGTGCTGAGCCTCACACTTGTGTTTGCCAAACTCAGGCAAGGCCAAAGTGTGCTGAGGGCTTAAGTTATTGTTACATGATATAAATGACTGGGGCATTTGTCCTGTAATAACATCTTGAACATTCTTCTCCTTGAACCATTGACTCTTAATGAGTTGAAACTGGTGGTGACCAGACTTTGGTTGCTTAGGTATATGGCTTGTGTGCATTTGAAGCATTGCCTTGATGTTTTTCCCATGCATGCCACATTCAGCATGACATTATTTTTCAGTCCACAGTCCAGTTTCTGCCTAGACATACTACACATGTTTAAACATGATATGCCAAGCATGTTCGGTCTAACAGTGACATTGCAGCAAAATATCCCAAGCATATTATGATCAAACAGCCTCTTCATAGCCAAATATCATGTTTCCACCATGATCACATGTAGTGAGATGTGAAGTTGGCTCTTGTTCAGGCTGGTTGCCCACTTCTACCTGGATATAATGTAAAATAGAACATAATAAGGCTGTTTAAGAGCTTACTGTTTCATGATTTGGATCAGCCACAAGGTGTTACTGTTTAATGTTCAAGTTTTTTGTGGCTTGGAAAAGTGCTTGGGTGGCACTTTATTAATTGTTGGTATTTTATAAGCTTTTGATGCACAACTAATATTTTAGCTAATAGCTTAGCTATAATTAATAGCTTATATGATATAGCTGCATAGCATTATGCTTTGAAAGATGTGGTGATTGTATGCCCAACTTGGGTCTCTTGGATTCATATCTGCTTATTTATGCAGTCTGTGGCAAGATTAACCTTGTGGAATCCATGTGCTATTTCATATAAAAAATGTGTCATTTTGTTCTACTGGCAACATATGTGCTTGAGCAGATATAGGTGATGAGTGTGCTCTATCCCATCTTGGTATGCTCTATCCCATCTCTCCTGCTGTAGCCACATTATAATTTGTTACTTTTGTGAATGTTTGTAAGTGCGTGGTGCATTGGACAAGTGAACTAGGGTGAACTTTCACCTGGTTGAAATGGGCTGCCACACATTGTTTTTCCCCATTTTTACAGGTGTTAACTGGCATAAACTGGTAGAAACTTAAGTTGTGATATCCCCCATTTTACTCATTTTTTTACCAGAATACAGATGCAATGTTCCTGAATCAGTCAGAACAACATGGGCAATGAATTAAT